CAGAGGCCTTCCCAGAACTGGGGTGAATCAGATGCCAAGACCACAGGTTGGCCTCCAGGCCGGAGCTGCTGCGGCATGTCCAGGAGTGGGGCAGGTCCTGACTCGGTCACCTCCCCCTCCAAGGGTCTGAGCCAAGTACCCAGCAGGAAGCCCGGGGCTCAGGGTCCTTCTGCTGGGCCCTTTGGTGCTGGTGAATACCTGTCACATGCTCGCTGGGATGGACTGACCTTGAGGGTTTGCTGTCACCCGTCCGCCACCCTGGCAGGACCTTCCCAAGACACTAGCGGGGACAGGCCGGGCCTGGCCGGCGTCAGGTGGGCTGCACTCTCCGGAGGCTCTGAGCGCAGCGACCTCGCCCCAGTTGGGATTCTGCCTCAGTTACTGCAGCGAGGAGGTTCCCTCACAGGTGCAGGCTCAGGCCGGCCTGAAATAGCCTTCACCTCCGTGAGGTGGGTGTGGCCCCTGTACACTGTCCTGCTCATGCTCCCGTGCACACCAGCTCCCACCAAGCCTGTGCCCCTGCCAGAGAGTCGGGAGAGGAGAGGCGAGACAGACTTATCTTCCCTTATTTCTTCTTTTTTTTTTTTTTTAAATAAGATGGGGTTTTACATGATGGCCAGGCTGGTTTTGAACTCCTGACCGCAGGTGATCTACCCACCTCGGCCTCCCAAAGTGCCAAGATTCCAGGCATGAGCCACCGCGCTCGGCCCTTTCTTCATTTTTGGCTTTTTTTGAGGCAGGGTCGCTCTCTGTTGCCCCAGCTGGAGTGCAGTGCAGTGGTGAGAGCTCAGCTCACAGCAACCTCTACCCAAGCAACGGGGCTTGTACAGTCCTCCCACTTCTGGCTGCTGAGCCTCCGGGACCATGGGTGCACCACCACATCCGGCTAATTAAACAATTTTTTTGTAGAGATGAGGTCTTGCCATGTTGCCCCGGCTGGTCTGGAACTCCTGGACTCAAGTGATCTTCCCTCCTTGGTTGGTCTTCTCTCAACAGGGTGAAAATGACGCAGAAGGCTAGAGCCATGTGCTAAGCTAGTGGCCCTGAGTTCACACCCACTGGCCCCGGGAAAGCAGTCCTGTGTACAGCCTCCTCACTGCTCTCTGCATGTGGTGTGGACATGGGAGCCTTGCAGGCACACACATGTGGAGACGTAGACACGCACACGTGGACACGGACACACGCACACTTGGACACACAAGGACACACGCACATGTGGACACAGACATACACGCGGACACGCGGACATGCACACATGTGGACACACGGACACGTACACATACTTGGACACACGCAGACGCACACATTCGTGGACACATTCGGACACGCACACATGCAGACACACTTGGACACACGCAGATGTGCACACACATGCAGATACACTTGGACACATGTGGACACGCACACATGTGGACACGCACACACGCGCGGACACACGCGGACACGCACACGCGCGGACACGCACACACGCGCGGACACGCACACACGCGGACACGCACAGTTGGATGCATCCAGACAGCTCCTAGTTCTTCACGCCCATTACCCTCAGGAGCTGCACAGCGACCCCCAAAGTCGGCCTGTGTGGTCTCTGAGGGTCGTCTTCACTTTCCCTTGCCGAGGAGATGGGGCCCCCGTGCACGCTCTGAGCCCCAGCGTCCTGAGTGAGGCCACCCTGTGCTCTGCCCCTGGGACCCTCCTTGGACACGGGGGCTGGTCCTTCCCTGAGTGGGAGTTGCAAGTCGTCTGGCTTCTTCCCCATCTCCTACTTGTAGGCCCCAGATGTACTGCCCTGGGCCCTGCCTCGGGTTTCCATAGGGAAATGGCACACGTCGCACTCCCTCCCCTGCCGGCACCCTCATCTCTGACAGAGACCGTGGTCTCCCTGAGCTCTGGCTGCCACGGCCCCCACCAGCACGTTGGCCCGTTGGCCTCTCAGCAGGCCCTCCCCTCCCTCCGCCTCCCCCCAGCTGGCTGTCAGACTCAGACCTTCACGGGCTCCTGGGCAACGCCTGCCTCGGCAGCACCCTGGTCAGGGCTGTGGTCGGGCCATGGAAGGGCCCCCTGGCTAAGACTGTCAGGCCTCCCCTCCATGTCCAGGCCTGGCCATTTTAGCCTTGGTGACCCACACATATGCCTCTGGATGGTCTCCAGGAACAAGAAAGTCTGCAGCAACCACAAGCAACCAGGTGGCCACAGAAAGAAGTACAACAGCTTGTTCCTGCCTCAACTAATTGCTGCAGCCTATGCCCATTATTCCTGTTCAGCCGTGCAAAACTCCCCCCCACCCCGCAACACTGACTTTCTCAAGACCCCCACCCCTGTAACTATGTAATCTACTGCACCCTCCCCTCTGACTGCAACCCATACTCCCCGCCCTATGCTCACGCCCGATTGTAATAAATGACCCCTACCCTTGCCATGCCCATCCCGTGATGCCCTTCCCTTCCCTAAGACAGATTACCAGCCCCTACCCTTGATGTCATGCATGCTGTGATGCCCTCCTCCTCCCCAAGATACATGACCACCCTTAACCGACCATTTGCCCCAACCTATAAACCAATCCCCTTTCGTACCCCCTTTGCCTGACCCCTTTCTCGGACTTGGCCCGCTTGCACCCAAGCACGAAATAAACGGCCTTGTTGCCCACACACAGCCTGCCTGGTGGTGTCTTTACGAGAGCAACACGTGTGACAGAGACCACAGCCTATTCCCCCAAGAGGTCACCCTGCCTGTGCCAGAAACCCTGCCAAGCACATTTGCACCCCTGGAGTGTGGGCACAGAAGCCGCCGCATTCAGCCAGTTGGATGTTCATTCCGGCTGCGTTTCTTATCCCTGGGCTCAGGGCCGGACCTAGACACACGAGGCCGGGCGGGCATGAGCCAGCAGCCCTCAGGATCTGTTTCCTGTGATCTTCTGACCCTTAAGGAGCACAGAGGAGGCTGGGGAGGATGGGAAAGGGAGAGGCCAACAGTGGCCGAGTCCAGCCCCTCCCGCCACTCCCAGGCCGGGCAGCAGCCTCCTGAGCAGCACGGAGACCCCTCTTGTCCTTCTAGCCGGCCCTCAGGGGCTCGCCCCTGCCCCCAACAGTCGGCCTTGCGGTTACAGCTTTCCTCAGGGACACATAGCTGTCTCTGCCCTGCACATTGCCGGTGGAGCTCCCTGTCCCCAGATCCCAGTGTCCCTGCCACAGCTCAGCTGTTAATGTGGCCACATGTGCTGCAGAGGAATCTGGGAGGTGTGTCTTTTCCATCTGTGCAGCTGCAGAGGAGTCTGGGAAGTGTGTCTTTTCCATCTGTGCACAGTTGTATAGGGGAATTAGCACTGCTTCCGGGCAGCTCGATGAGGCCGCCCTAATACCCTGCCGGGGAGCAGAATGATGAGATTACTCAAGCCTACAATTTTCTCTCTCGTACAACTTGCATCCAATTATGTTATTGTCTTTAGTGCGAATCTAATCTCATCTCCAGCAGCTGCCCTGCTTCATAACGCACGTTTCCTGACAGCAGTGAGAGGAGAGGGTGCCTGAGGCTGCAGCAGCGTTTCCCGGCTCCTCTGGGCTGAGGAGGATACCGCTGGCATTGCCTGGCTCCCCCCAGACCCTCTCTGCACAGACAGAACCTCAGCTAACACAGAGCCTGGCTGCCCTGTTGTGCCAAATCAGGAACACAAAGACGGCAAAGCCTGCAGGCACCGGGCGCCGCCTGTGGCTTACACCTGTAACCCATCCCACCACTTTTCGGGGTTGAGGTGGGTGGATCACTTGAGCTCAGAGTTCAAGGCCAGCCTAGGCAACATGATGAAACCCCGTTGCTACAAAACACACAAAAAATCAACAGAACATGGTTGTGTGCCCTGTAGTTCCAGCTGCTCAGGAGGTTGAGGCAGGAGGATCACTTGAGTTAGGGGAAGTTGAGACTGCAGTGAGCCTGGGCAATGGAGAGAGATCCTGTGTCAAAAAGAAACCAGGCCTGGAGCGGTGGCTCACACCTGTAATCCCAGCACTTTGAGAGGCCAAGGCAGGCAGATCACCTGAGGTCTGGAGTTTGAGACCAGCCTGGTCAACATGGTGAAACCCCGTCTCTATTAAAAATACAAAAATTAGCCAGGCATGGTGGCAGGTGCCTGTAATCCCAGCTACTTGGTAGGCTGAGGCAGGAAAATCACTTGAACCCAGGAGGCAGAGGTTGCAGTGAGCCGAGATGGCGCCACTGCACTCCGGGCCAGTGACAAGAGTGAAACTGCATCTCAAAAAAACAAAACAAAAACAAAAAACCTGCCAGCTCTGGGAAAAGTGACACTCACTGAGAATTCTGGGTGGATGGTAGGACACCCGACCAAGGTGACAGTGTCACTCAATAGTGGGTGACCCCAGGTTGGGGACTCACAGCTGCCTGCCTGCCTCAGGAGCTTCAGGGTGAGGGTCTGGGCTCTCAGCGGGGGCCGGTTCCTAGCCCAGCATCTGCTCAGCGGGTCGACATCGGCTGGGGCCCCAGCGGACAGAGGCGGCGCTCACGGGGGCATCCTGAGGAGCGTCTGGTGTCCAGTGTGTGGAGCTGTGTTCTCTTTCAGCATAGGCCCCACATTACCAACTGGAAGCTCAGGACACACGGCTCCAGAAGCTCCAGAAGCCCCCCGCGCCGCACGGCGTTCAGTGAGGCCACAGGCTATTCCGCACGCGCAGCAGACTGTGCTGCTGCCTCTGTACTGGAGCATGAAGGGTGTGAGTGTATCTGAGATCTGAAGCCAGTTCTGCTCTGGAATTGGATTTACTCACACTACTTGATTTTATGGGAGAAACTGAGGCTTGGGGCCAAGATACACGCAGAGCAACAACATGCAAATTTTGGCAGTTAAGCGCGCAGCCAGCGGGGGTGGTGTCCATCCTAGGCCCACCACTTGCTGTGTGAGCCGGGCAGTCTGCAGCCTCCACGCCCCAAGTGGAAGGACCTGCCCGGGGTGGTTCAGAGGAAGAAAAGAATCCAAAACACAGGAGGCAGTCTGCAAGCATTTTTAAAATATATATTTTTTGAAACTATCTGGAAAATAATTAAGATCCCTGATTGGAAGGGGGGAAAAAATCAACACAATGAAATTTAGGAAGAGAAACGCAAGAGCAGCTGCTGCATCCGGCCCCTTCCACGCGAGGGGCGCAGCCAGGAGATGCTCGTTGCCTGATCCCAAGTGCGCACTCCGGTCGACGCAGAATCACTTAATTACCAGCCTTCTGGCGGAAGGACCTGTCCAAAGTCAGGGTCAGAAATAGGACAGCTCATCGTGCTTGGCTTTGTTGGTCTGGTAGTTAGACAAGGTCAAGGGCTTGTTTTCGTGAGGGAGACTCCGGAATACTCGCAAGTGGACAAATTCCTCGTCACCGACGTGCACCTGGGGGAGACAGTGGCGTGAGCACACCCTCTGATCCCGAGTGCCCTGCTGCACCCCCAGGTCATGAGCGGCCACCTGAAGACAGTCCCCTCTTCTCCTGCAAGTGTGGTGGACCCTCGCACCCCACGTGTGTTCCCTTAGGGTTCTTAGCTCCCCAGAAGCCCTAGCCCTTCTCCTGAAAGGCTGACAGACACGCACAGTAGGATTATCTTAGGGGGCACCCACAGGGCGCCCCAGCACCCGAGGCCACACAGCCCGGGCCTGCGCAGGCAGCTCCCGGCAGCACCTGTTCGGGGCAGGCCCGCCCAGGCCCACACTCTACCTTGATGAAGAAGTTTGTCCCCGCGACCACCTGGCTCCTGAAGGACACAGCCTTAAACACAGGGAACTTCTTGTTTTCTTTTTCTTCAAGCTGGGACCTCACCTAGGCAGAGGGCACAGAATGGGTATGACTCGGGGCTTCTTGAGTTCCCTCCTGCACACGCGCGTGCACACACAAATGCACACACAGGATGCTGATACTTGCTCTTCACACGACTGTCTCTTACAACTGAGGAGATAAACTGTCAGCCTAATAATAAAATAGAAAAAACCAGTTCTGGCCGGGTGTGGTGGCTCAAGGCCGTACGTAATCCCAGCACTTTGGGAGGCTGAGGCAGGCAGATCACTTGAGGTCAGGAGTTTGAGACCAGCCTGGCCAACATGGCAAAACTCCATCTCTACTAAAAATACAAAAATTAGCTGGGTGTGCTGGCGGGCGCCTGTAATCCCAGCCACTCAGGGGGCTGAGGCAGAAGAATCAGTTGAATCCAGGAGGCGGAGGCTGTAGTGAGCTGAGGTCGCGCCACTGCAATCTACCCTGGGCAACAAGAGCAAAACTCCTTTAAAAAAATTAAATCGGCTGGGCATGGTGGCTCACGCCTATAATCCCAACACTTTGGGAAGCTGAGGCGGGTGGGTCACTGGAAGTCAGGAGTTCGAGACCAGCCTGGCCAACATGGTGAAACCCCGTCTCTACTAAATATACAAAAATTAGCTGGGTGTGGTGGCAGGTGCCTGTAGTCCCAGCTACTTGGGAGGCTGAGGCAGGAGAATCACTTGAACCAGGAGGCAGAGGTTGCAGTGAGCCAAGATTATGTCACTGCACTCCAGCCTGGGTGACAGAGTGAGATTCCGTCTCAAAAAAAAAAAAAAAAAAAAAGTCCAGGCATGGTAGCTCACATCTGTAATCCCACCACTTTGGGAGTCTGAGACACATGCATCACTTGAGGTCAGGAGTTCAAGACCACCCTGGCCAATATGACGAAACCCCCACCTCTACTAAAAATACAAAAATCAGCTGGGTATGCTGGCTTGTGCCTGTAGTCCCAGCTACTCGGGAGGTTGATGCAGGAGAACTGCTTGAATCTGGAAGGCAGAGGTTGTAGTAAGCCGAGATTGTGCCACCGCATGCACTCCGGCCTGGGAGACAGAGTAAGACTCATCTCAAATAACAACAACAACAACAAGAATAATAATTAAATCTGATGAAGTTTAAGTACTGTGGGGCCAGGCACAGTGGCTCATGCCTGTGATCCCAGCACTTTGGGAGGCCAAGGCAAGAGGATTGCTGGAGCCCTGGAGTCGGAGACTCCATCTCTAAAAATAAAGTCAGCCCGACGAGGCAGCATGCTTCTGTGATCCTAGCTACTGAAGAGGCTGAGGTGGATCGCTGGGACCCTGGAGTCCAAGATGACCACAAGCGATGATCGCACCACTGCACCCCAGCCTGGGTGATACAGTGGGGTGGGACCATGTCTCAAAAAAAAAAAAAAGTGCTGCTGCCTAGATTAATGGGAAGGCCTAGGAGCATCCCAGAGTGATGAAGCTGGTCCAGTGAATTAGGGGCTTAGTTTGAAAAAACAAAACGAAGCGGCAAGAAATGCGCCAGTTCGGAAACAAAGGGAGTGGCCCAGTATTACGGGTAGTGGAGCCACCAGGGCAACCGGGCCCAAGGTACCACCACCTCCCAGTGCCAGGGAGGGCCCTTGCTGGGAGAGGCTGAAGGGCCAGGCTGGGGAGGGGCAGAGGGGAAGCTGCCCTTCCACTCCTGTTCTCTGGGGAGGTGGGAAAGGGGGTGCCCTCCTGCGCCCCTATTCTCTGGGGAGGTAGGGAGAGAAAGGTGCCCTCCTGCGCCCCTGTTCTCTGGGGTAGTGGGTGAGAAAGTACCCTCCTGCCCTCTGTTCTCTGCCCAAGGCCGCCATGCTTCTCACTGCATGGGCACAGTGGCTACCTGTCACAGTCTGGAACCAACCCGTGTGCCCCCTCCCAGCAAGGTACAGAGGGCCTGCCGGGACCCACCAGTGCGGCGGCCCTCACCCCCAGACACTGACGGGCCCAGCTTGGGTCTTGCCCACAGACCCACCCAGGGCGTGGGAGGACGAGGATGGGCCTCTCTCTTTGCTGGGTAGGAAAGTCTGCAGGGCACAGTGGGGAAGCCCCGGGGCAGGCGGCTGTGCCAGGCCAGGCTACCCGCTCAGCACAGGCACTGACGCCGCTGACAGGGAGCAGCGTGGGCTGGCCTCTCACCAGGGGAGCCCCAGAAGGGCAGGATCAGTCAGGAAGCCACAGGTGACCAGTCCTCGGGGGTCACAGTGAAGGCGCAGGGACGGCTCTGGGGGAGGGTCCCCCACGCAGTGGCACAGAATGAAGGACTCTGCTGGCCTTTGGGCTGGGTCAGCCTCTGGTCTCCACCCTCCTTGTCTACAAAGTATGACAGGAACCCTCGGCCCAGAACACTCCCATAGGAGTCAGTAAGACAGGACCCGACCAGGGGAGGCCAGGAAACGCCCCCGCCCCCTCCTCCCAGCCCTTCCTCAGAGACCACCTGGGAGGGGGCTGGCCTGGTTCACATGCCCATCCTAACGTCCCTCCCAGTAGCAATGGCTGTGCCTGCTCCGGTCACTTTGGAGATACGGACTCTACTCTCCTGGCTGCCACAAGAGCTCATTCCAGGCTCAGAGTGGGTGACAGTGAGGAATTTCTCAGGCCTGGAAAGCCAGAGAACAGGAGAGGAAGAGCGAGGTTTCCATGAGTGGCTGTGGGAGGAGCCACGTCTCCAGGCGCAGCTCCCACAAGCAGTCTGGGCAGGCAGGGGCCAAACATGGCCTCATTTCCAAAGGTGTCATGGGACTGACTCATGCCGCCCCCCCATCCTGCAGTCAGATGGTCAAAGCCACCAGAGTGTGACACTGGGCTGACCACATCTGGATGCAGCAGCAGGGAGGAGAGTCAAAGGAGAAAGAAGGCTGGGCGTTGGCACAGGCCTGCAAAAATCCCAGCACTGTGGAAGGGCGGGGAGGGAGGTCGCTGGAGCCCAGGGGTTCGAGACCAGCCCGATAACATGGTGAAACCCTGTCACTACTAAAAATACCAAAAACTAGTCAGGCGTGTTGGCGCGCGCCTGTAATCCCAGCTACTCAGGAGGCTGAGGCAGGAGAATCGCTTGAACCTGGGAAGCAGAGGTTGTAGTGAGCCAAGATTGCACCCCTGCACTCCAGCCTGGGTGACAGAGAGATACTCCATCTCAAAAACAAAAAACACAGGCCGGGCCGGGCGCGGTGGCTCAAGCCTGTAATCCCAGCACTTTGGGAGGCCGAGGCGGGTGGATCACGAGGCCAAGAGATCGAAACCATCCTGGTCAACATGGTGAAAGCCCGTCTCTACTAAAATACAAAAAGTTAGCTGGGCATGGTGGCACGTGCCTGTAATCCCAGCTACTTAGGAGGCTGAGGCAGGAGAATTGCCTGAGCCCAGGAGGCGGAGGTTGCGGTGAGCCGAGATCGGGCCATTGCACTCCAGCCTGGGTAACAAGGGCGAAACTCCGTCTCAAAAAAACAAAACAAAACAAAACAAAACAAAAAACACAGGCCTCAGCACCGCCTGGACCTGTTCTTGCTGGGGCATCCACTTGGTCACCAACCATGACAGCCAGGCGCATTTGGCCTGTGCACCTCGGGAGGGGCATCCCGCGCACAGGACCTGCCCATTTAAGCCCCTCCAGAACCCTCTGGCAGGCGCAGAGCAACAGGACGTCCATTTCACAGGTGAGTAAACCGAGGCACAGGGAAGGTTGCCGTCTTCAACAAAGACCGTTTTTATCTTGTTTTTTTGTGTTTCAACTTTTTATTTAGACTTACAGCTTGAAACAGTGCTAGAATCAGCAGTGTGGACGAGAACCTGTGGTCTCTTCACGCAGATACACTTGTTAAGTTTTTAACCCAGGTGCCTTATCCCTGGGGACCTCCTGCACTCCCTCTCAGGATTTTTTTCCCGAACAGCTGAGGATGCTGACAAAGATTCGTGCGTGGCCACAACGTAGTCGGGCTCCTGAAGCGCCCGGGCCACCTGCGCCCTTCCTTGTAAAATCCCGTTTTCGCCGGAAGCCTGGCTGTCAGTTCAGCGCCCCTCCCCAGCCGCCGGCTCCGGGATCGCCGCGGAGTCCGGGCAGGCAGCGCACCCGCGCCAGCGCCTGCGACGCCCCTCACCCCGCCGGCCTGCAGCCCGGGGCGTCCCCCCAGCGAGTCTCCATCCCGGGGCCGCACCCGGCTCCGAGGCTATCAATCCCCGCGCGCCCTCGCTGGATTCCGCAACGGGCCCAACGCCTCCCCGCCGCGTCCCAGGCGCGGCCCCCTCCCCGCACGCCCGCGCGCAACGCCCGAGCGGAGGGAGGCCTCTCACCGCCACGGCCCCGGCCGGCCCGGGGTCCCCCGCCGAGTCCGCCCGCCCCGGGGGCGCAGCGGGGCCCAAGCGGCTTCCCCAGTCCAGCAGCCGCGGCGGCGCCCCGAGGCGAAGGCGGGACCTCCCACGGCGCGCCCCCGCGGCCCGCCCACCTGGTCGGCGATGTCCTGGGTCTCGGCGGTGGCCGGCTGCGCGGCGGAGGGCGCCCCGCACATCATCGCGGCGGCGACGCAGGGGCTTGGCGAGGGGACTGGGCGCCGGACGCGGCGGCTCCTCCGCTCACATAGACGCGGCGGGCACGTGACGCGCGGGCGGAACCAAGGCGCGGGGTGGGGGGCGGCAGCTTGGCTTGGGAGTCCCCGGCGGGGTCGCGGTGGCCCCGCAGGACGGGGCGCGCGGGGCAGGGCGCAGGGCAGGCTGCGGAGCGGGGAGCCTGGCCACATCCCGCCGCGGGCTCCGTCTTCGCGCCCAGGGCGGGTGTCAGGAGGGAGCTCCCCCCTCCCCGGGTTGGTGTCGCCTTCCCTGGCGCGAGTCACGAGGGCCGGGGCGGGGGTGCGGCCGGGTGTCGCAGACGGGTTGGGGGTGCAGGGTGGGACCACAGGGGAGGGGCAGCGAAGTGGGCGCAATCCTGCAGGGTGGCGGGGTCCGGGCGGCGCCCAAGGGAGGGCGCGGGTGGGGTGGGCGCCTCCCTGCAGGGGTCAGGGGTCCCGGCCCCGCGGGGGCAGGTGTGCGGGCTGCGGTGGACATCACCGCTTGTGACCCGGGACACTGAGGGCTGAAGGGGATGGACAGAGGGGCCCAGGGAGGGGAGACGGCGCCCACGCGCCTCAGGCTGTGGGGGGACAGGGCGTACAGCAGAGGGATGAGAAGAAGGCAGGGCTCGCCGGTGCGATTGGGGCTTTAGGATTTCTTTTTCTTTCTTTTCTGTTTCTTTATTTATTTTTATTTTTATTTTTTTCTTGAGTCTCGCTCAGTCGTCCAGGCTGGACTGCAATGGCACGATATCGGCGTACTGCAACCTCTGCCTCTCTGGTTCAAGCAGTTCTCCTGCCTCAGCCTCTTTAGTAGCTGGGATTACAGGCGCCCGCCGCTATGCCCGGCTAATTTTTTGTATTTTAGTAGAGTCGGGGTTTCACCGTGTTACTCAGTCTGGTCTCGAGCTCCTGAGCTCAGTCAATATGCCCAACTCGGCCTCCCAAAGTGCTGGGATTACTGGCTCATGCCGCGCCCAGCCACCTGGCTAATTTTTGTATTTTTGTTAGAGACGGGGTTCACCATATTGGCCAGACTGGTCTCGAACTCCTGGCCTCGGGATCCGCCTGCCTCACCCTCCCAAAGTGCTGGGATTACAGGCATGAGCCGCTGCTCCTGGTCTCTTTTTTTTTTTTAATTTTTCTTTTCTTTCTTTCTTTCCTTGCTTCCCTCCTTCCTTCCTTTCTTACTTTTCTTTTTCCTCCCCCTCCTTTTTCTTTCTTCTTCTTTTTTTTTTTTTTTTTTTTTTTTTTTTTTGGCAGGTTCTTGCTCTGTTGCCCAGGCTGGAGTGCAGTGGCCTGATCACAACTGGGGTCCAGCCATCTTCCCACTTCTGTCGCTACAGTAGCTGGGACCACAGGCTCACCCTACCACACTCGTATATATGAGAGAGAGTTTCACCACGTTGCAATGGCACAGTCTCGGCTGGTCTGGAACTCTTGAGCAATCCACCTGCCTCAGCCTCCCAAAGTGCTGGGATGACAGGCTTGAGCCACCACCCAGACCCTTTGGTTTCGGATGTCAATGAGATGGACCCTCCTGGACGCAAGGCCCCAACAGGAGCTGCCCATGAATGGGTTGTGGGGAGTTTCCCTTACATGCCAGGGCACAGCCTGGTCTGTCACTTCAGGGAAGGGTCCAAAGGGGTGGGCAGTCAGGCGTGGTTGAAGCCTGGGGGATCTGGACAGAGACTCCCATCATTGTTGAATGAATGAAGGCAGATGTGCCCCCACAAAAATGGAAGCCCCTTCTATGTGGAAAAGAAAGTGTCGGAGAAGAAAATGGGAACGAAGAGCAAGGGCCGTTGGCTGCCTGTGTGGGCTGCAGCTCTGTGGGGCTGCTGTGCTGGGAGGCGTCGGCCTTGAGGCCTTGGGTCCTGAGGTGCCCTCCGGAGTCAGATCCTCACTCTCCCTGCTGGCGCTGGGTCCCAGGTGCCTGCATTTTACAGACGGGAGGGTGACAGCTGTGGAAAGAGACAAAGCTCACGCAAATGAGAACAAAAGGCCATTTATCCAGGGCTTGCTGTAAAGGGAGTCACCATCCTCTCTCGTGTTGGCAGAGAATCCGCAGCAGGCGGGGGCAGGGGCAGGGAAAAAGCCTGGAACAGAAGGGGAGGCTCAGGTGCACCTGAGGGAGGCTGTGGCCTGGGGAACTGAAGAGGGGCTCACCAGGAGCGTGACCACGGTTGCCCAGGCAATCACTACCCTGACACCTGGGGATGCAGCAGTGAGTTGGAACTGCAAGGCTGTTCAACCAGGAGATGGGAGGAGACCTCAAATCCGCCTCCCTGAGGAGTTTGAGGCTGGGGACGTTAGGGATTTGCATCGGGCTGAGGGCATCGGCCGTTGACAGTGGAGGAGTGCAGGGCGAGGTGGTGATGGAGTGGAAGGAGCTGTGTTCTCATGCTGCTTCACTTCCTCTGTGGGGCTCTTGGCTCGGAATTAAGGATCTGAAACACTCTAAGGAATTCTTAAAGAAAAGCCTCATGATTCTTAAGTCAGAGATTCCATCTGTAGGAACAGTGGGGTTGCAGATGGTCACGAGTGCTACGTGACTCTTGGGAGTGCCGCTTCTGACCTTTGTTACAACAGGTTTGTTTTTTTTTTTTTCTCTGAGACAGTTTCACTCTTGTTGCCCAGGCCGGAGTGCAATGGCACAATCTCGGCTCACTGCCCTCCCCCTCCCAAGGTTCAAGCAGTTCTCCTGCCTCAGCCTCCCAAGTAGCTGGGATTACAGGTGTGTGCCACCATGCCTGGCTAACTTTTGTACCGAGATGGGGTTTCACCATGTTGGCCAGGCTGCTCTTAAACTCCTGATCTCAGGCGATCCACCCACCTCGGCCTCCCAAAGTGTTGGGATTACAGGCGTGAGCCCCCGCATCCAGCCCATGACTGTTTCTGCTGAAGCTTGGCTATGACTATGTCTGTGCGGAACCGGTACAGAAAGCTGCTGGCTAGCTGCGGCTTGTGGTCTGGCCTCTGGATGGTCGCTGAGGTTCAGAGCTCTCTCCCATGTTCGGTCTGACTGTTTTCTGTCTGTGTTGATTGTCTGACGACTTCAAAGCTGCCTTAGTGCCACAGGTCAGGTGCAGGCAGATGTTTCAGACCATCTTGGAGGGCAGGCGCTGGAGCGCAGCTGCCCGAGTGTGGACCAAGCCTCCTTTCCCCTGCTGTGTGGTGAAAGACTGCTGGCTGAAGCCCCCTGTGCCTCTCTGTGGGGATAATGCTAATAATCAACCTCAATTATTTTAAAGGACTAAGGGAATTCATACGTACAAAAAGCATGGGACAGTGTCTGAGCTCCAGGTGAATTGTCAGTGTTGTTATTAGCACTGTTGTATGACTGTACTAACAAAAATCAACCTATAATTTTTGTATGACTTTTTCAATCAAAAGCCCTGGAATTGTTTTTTGTTGTTGTTGTTTGTGTGTGTGTTTGTTTGAGACAGGGTCTGACTCTGTTGCCCATGCTGGAGTTCAGTGGCATGACCACAGCTCACTGCAGCCTGGACCTCCCAGATTCAAGCCATCTTCCCACCTCAGCCTCTTGAGTAGCTGGGGCTACAGGTGTGCACCACCATGCCTGGCTAATTTTTGAATTTTTTGTGGAGATGGAGGTCTCACTTCGTTGCCCAGGCTAACCTTAAACTCCGAGACCCAAGCAATCCTCCTGCCTCTGAAACCACCTCTGCAAACATTGTGTCAGTGAGAAGATGGTGGCAGTGGAGAGAGCTGACGTGGCCACCCCTGCTGTGGCCTTTCGCCTTTTGGCTGCCCTGAGTGTTCCTGCACTTGGGCTGAGCTCACTTTGGCAGACATTTAGTTGACAGTTTAGAGGATACCGGCCCTTCTCTAAAATCCAGCCACCTTTGCAAAGCTCTTGAGAGACCAGGCTAGGAGAAGGCGAGGAGCCTGAATTCCTCCAAGGTGTACACGAACAATTCCCAGCCATTATTCTAGAGGTCACAAGGAGGCAACCTCCCGGGTTAGTCCTGCGGATAACGTCGCTACGATAGGCTGGCCTTTCGAGATAGCTGTACAGGTTTTCCGCGTGCATGACACCGATGGCTCTACCTGGACCCAACTGACCACAGCGCCTGTGGCCCCAGCCAGAAGCAGCTCGGTGCAGAAGGACATCGTCCCACGATTTCATCCTGATCCACCCAGTCAGCAGCAGGCCTCCATTGCCTCGCCACCCTTCCCCTTCCTCCAAACTGCCTTGGAAAAACCCTAAGCCACAGGACTTCATTAAGATTGATTTGAGTAATAACTCCATCTCCCTGTGGCCTGGCCAGCCTCGCATCACTTAATATTCTTTACTGCAAAGCCATGGTCTTTGTGCAGTGAGCAGGAAGAACCTGTCGGGCGGTTCCACCTCAGCCTCCCAGAGCGCCAGGATTACAGGCGTGAGCTACCACGCCCAGCTCTCAAAGCACTGTGAGCCACCACGCCCGGCTCCCAGAGCGTCAGGATTACAGGTGTGAGCCACCACGCCTGGCTCTGAAAGCACTGGGATTACAGGCGTGAGCTACCACGCCCGGCTCCCAGAGCGCCGGGATTACAGGTGTGAGCCGCCACACCCGGCTCCTCCCATTCTCTGGTGCCAGAGTTTTTCATTTTACTGAAGGCAAGGGGAAAAGACCAAATCCCTTGCCTCCCGCTTAGAGAATGAGAAAGAAAACAATGGTGAATGGTTCTTCTGTGAGGAAAGTGCAGCCTTTGAAGTCCCCGGGCCCAGAGAGGAATGAGAATGGGGCAGCAGTCACATGCTGTTTGTCCTGGAGCTGCCCACCGTCTCTGGAGGCTGCCTCGTCTCACCACAAGTAGCTTTAAGTGAACCTCGAGCTGCTGCACATGGGACACCGTAATCCATGCAATGTATAGCCAATCACTAATCAGTATTATTTCTGTAAACCAGTGAGACTTCCTAATAGGCAACTTTGTATCCGCCTGCTCCTTGTCCCCCTTTTCCCTTGAAACACCTGCTTGTCGGCCGGGTGCTGTGGCTCACTCCTGTAATCCCAGCACTTTGGTAGACCGAGGTGGGTGGATCACTGGAAGCCAGGAGATCGAGACCAGTCTGGCCAACATGGCCAGCTTCTACATAGCCTGTTTCTACTAAAAATACAAAAAAAAAAGG